CAGTCAATTTGGAAATGCGTTAGCGTCATTCAATTTCGCCAAAGTTTAGTGGGAGGACAATTCTTTGGCGAATTGCGGTTTCATTTTCGTCTATTCATAGAATGAGCATACTATTTCTCATGCATTTTTATTTAGATTTGGAAATATTGTTGAATACAAGCTCGTACCATTAGCAACGCACATATTCTGATATTGTTCGACACTACCATGACCACCTGACCGTCTTAGCTGCTTACAATATTCCTCTACTGCAATACAAAAATAAAAGACAAACAAATAATCGAAACAATAGTAAATCAATAAATCAAATCAAATCAAACAAAATTTGGTTGGTAAAGTTATCACGATATATCATCGGCCAGGATAAGAAGTGATAAAAAGTATCTTTCTGAAAGTGCAAACTTTCTACAAATCTGGTCGGATTACGTCAAAACATCATTGCCATGTTGGCACATTTCAATAGGTGACCGCACAATCATACAGCTATTAGAATGGCTTTTATAGGTTGGTTGTTTTGTAATCGTATTCGTTTTAGTTGTTTGATAACATTATAAATAAATTGCTTACGGGTTCGTTGCTCCTCGACACTCAACGCATTGGAATTGTCGATCTCATCTTCCTCGACTAAAACACTTGCTACCACGGCCAATGCAATCAGACAGTAGAGAGAAATCATGGTTTTTGACGCCATTTTTAAAGTCTAAGGAAAATAGAATCAACATGGAAATACATTTTGATCATTTGGTCAAAGATACGGTGACATTCCAATGCAATTAAGAATGTCAGCATAGAATCGTGACGTACTGAAACTTTCCTTTTACAGAATGAACAGAAATCGGACAATATAAAGTTATAACAGAAAGTGAAGGAACAATAATGGGCTTCGAGACGACAGGCTGCCAGAAAATACTTGAATTAAGGTTTACTGTGATGAATGCCAGGCGGAAGGCTTCAGAATATCCACATTCAATCATAGTTTTCGCTTTCAGGAACCATCAACTGAGAATGTTTGTAATGCCCTGTTGAAAGATGATGTTCCCGGCCCACTTCTGCACTGCTCTCATTGCTACGATTTATTCTAGATTGTTGATCCTGCAGCAGATTTCCTGATCTTCATATGCTCATTTCTCAGCCACTATACAATTTCTACCAAAATTATTGTGCAATTGTCATTTATTTGTAATCTTGAAAATTCTGTGTAAGTTTCGTTGGATTCTGTGAGAATTTAATCTCTATATTTACCAGAACTCAAGATTATCTTTAAACTTACCTCCCCAAATTATTAATTGATATGAGCCATTATAATCTGAGCATGTTTGTTTGGTAAAATGTACCCGAAATTGGGTAAACATTACCTAGTGTTGGTATAAAGTATTCCCAACAAACATGTATGGGTTTTTTTAACCTCCTATTTTTAACATTTTACCCAATTTGCTAAAAGGGGAAGTCCACCCTGAGTTTAAAACAAAAATGAAAACGGAAGAATGAGAGGAACGGGTAAGTGAAAGTTTAAGCAAAAACCGATTAAAAATAATAAATGTATGAGTTTTTGAAGATGCGATCAATCAATCATCGTTCAAATTGGCAACTCTGTGACATAATTGTTGTGAGGTTATCACCCATTTGCCCTGTACTAAAAGACTTTAAAAGCTTACTCTCTTTAAAAAAAAAAGTGAATTTTCACTCTATTTTCACTTTCTTGGGAGTGACGTCCGTGATCACTTGTTTAGGAGTGAAAATCGATTGATTTTAGAGTGCTCTCTAAGAAGAAAAGAGTGAATGTTCACTTTATTTTCACTACATTTTCACACTCCAGAGGAGTGACGTCCGTGATCACTCGATTTTTTTAGAGAGTATGTAATGGAGATTAATGCCTTACCAAGGGACACCTAGCACCCGTTAGTGTTACGAACCCGAGCCTTCACGTTTACGAGATCACTGGGCCATCTCACCCATCAGAGTTGCCAAAGCAAAGCTCCTGATTAAAGTGCACTAAAAGCCCTCTGCATACGAGGCGAAGAAATGTCTGAAGAAATGCAGACCTACGCTCAACAACTGAATATACATCAATTATTCCCAAATCCAGACTCTCAACTACCGAAAAAACGTTTTACAGTTGCTGCTTCGAAAGAATATAATTTTAACCTGTCTTGCCACTTTCAAAAGATCCATTAAACATTCCTCTTCCCTCAGAAATAAAGCATGGTTTACCTATTTCTGAGTCTTATGTTTCTCTTCACATTCTGTTACATAGTAAGGGATAAGGTACTTTTTGTTTTAGCGCTACTAAATAATCGATATCATTATCAATACAATTAAGAACTGACGGAATCAGAAAGACGTCTCATGTGCAGGCATAACGTAAGGGATGTTGGGCCTACCTGATTTCGATGCGGTGTTCGAGTAGAATTCTGTAAGATGATGATATTCTTTCTCGTAGCTCGATGTGACGAAGTGTCTCTATCAAGATATATGTTGAATTAAAGTCTAGATAGCTTCTGGTTTTATAGAATTTCGGGGCCTGCCATTACTATCTTCTCGTAACCGACAAGTCACCGCATGTAAAATTGGATTTTGTTTTCAACACTATGCTGGTGGATAAAACTTTCCAAAAATCAGACCTCAGAACATATTGTTTGATTATTTTGAATTAAAACTTTCAAGCATTGTCATTGTTCGTTACCGACAAATTACCGCATGTGAAATTGAATATTGTGTTCAACATTATGTTGGTGGATAAAACTTTTCAAAAATCCAAGAAATATGACCTCATAACAATTGCTTCAATTATTTTGTATTCAAACTTTTAATCATCGAAGCCTGTTGTTCGTACCTACAAGTCACCACTCATCACAGTCATGTCAGTATGAACGAATCGATCAATCGTCAAAGAATTGATTTATAATCGCTTTATAATTAATTATTTTATATTTCATATACCTGCATTCGGATTATACCTGCATTCGGATTGTTCACGAATGAACATTTACTAGATAACTTAAATGTTCGTTTTCGTTAATTTCATCATTACTTTCTCTTTGTTAAATATTTATAAAATGTTTAATGTTGTTACATCATGCCTTTATTTCATTTAAAAGGAATACATGTTTACATTCAATACCAGGTCCATGTTCCCTTTCCGAAACCATGGCAGGTCGCACTACATATAAAACATATAGAAAAAATAATGCATTACAGTTACAAATATATATCAATCATGCATAATAACAATTATATATTAATCATGTATAGTTAAAATTATGCATTAATCATTGATCAATATTCATAAATCGATCATGTATATTAACAATCATTAATCGTGCCTGCATCAATCATGCTTAGGTTGGCAACAAAATTCAATTAAAACAAAATAAAAAAATAAGGGGAATATGATTTTCTAAGCATGTGGGTAAAGGCTGGGAGTAGGAAACGATGTAAGAAAAAAAATGTGAAAGAAATGAGAAAGTAGAGGGTACATTATAGGTTGGAGATGAAGTGTAAACGAGTGAAAACGAGTCATTCCACTTGGAATAGACGGAGTGGAGGAAAAGGAGAAAGTAGGGGGGGGGGTAAAGAGAGAAGAGGGGAGCAAGGGCAAGCAGATGGAGTAAAGGAGGCGGAGGTAGGCGAGGAAGAAAAGTTTGGGAAGAATGAGAGAGAGAGAGAGAGAGGCAGAAGAAGAAGAGGACGAAGAAAAAGAAAAAGAAAAAGAAGACGAAATAAGGCAAAGAAGAAGAGGAAGAGAAAAAAGAGAGATAAGAAGCGTTGAAGAGAATGGAGTGTTAATTAGAGGTCGAGGTATTCGACATCCTTCCACTGTGATTCTTTTCTTTCATTGAATATGACAAAGGATGACACTACTGCGTACCTACTTATGTTCTGAAAGAAACTATTCAGGCGAAGAAGGACTGAACATTTCCTGAATACCCACTTTAGCCGTATCATGTTGTCTCTATTTATTTGCCCCCTTACTCATATCTCAATAGCATGGTATGCAGTGGCGTACGCAGGATTTTTTCAAGGGGGGGGGGGTTAACATTTTGAAATCGGGCCGAAAATTTCGCAACGACCCAGCTAGTCGCTGAATAAGCGGGGAGGGGTGGGGTGGGGAGGGTAAGAGGACACTTTTTTAATTGGGGGTGGGGGGGGGGGTCTCAAAAAAATCACAACGACTCAGCCAGCCGCTAAACAAGACGGGGGGGGGGGAGGTGGTAAGAGGACACTTTTTTTGGGGGGGGGGGGGGGGGGGGGGGGGGGGGGGGGGTCTCGAAATTTGAAATTTTGAAATTTTGCTTCGTAGGGGGGGGGGGGGGGGGTAAGCTCTTTTTTTTTTAGGTCAGCCATTGGCATAATTTTTATTTTGTATTTTGTATTTTCATTTAAAAAAAAAAAAGCAAAAGGGGGGAGGGGTTGCATTACAGTACACACATAACAAAAACTAAAGGGGGGTTTAACCCCCCCCCCCCCTCTGCGTACGCGCCTGATGTTATGTCACACTGTAACCATTGTTTCTTACTTCGGCCACAAGTTCTTTGTACCGGTCGAGCTTTCTCGTGTGAGCAGCACTGGTGTTTGTCTCAAAGGGCACTGTTAGTTCGATCATTAGCATTTGTTTCATTCATTCCCAAATAACGACGAGATCTGGGCGTTGAGATGAGATAAATATGGGATGGGATGGTTCCGCCCGCAACGGTGAAACCCTGAATATCAGCATGAACTTGTTTGTGAGGGAGGGACTCTTTCGAAATCAAGGCAAAATACTATATTCATATTTTCTTTACGCAATAAAGAGAGGTTCAGAGAGAAAGAAAGAGAGAATACGTTAACTGCGAATTATCGAGTACAACTATGAAGCGCATCCTTCTCAATATGATTCAAATCGCTGTCAATATTCAGAATCTGAAAAAGGTAAATCCACAATATACACCAACGCTAACACCGCCTCCATCGCTCCAACCATAGCCCATATGCCAATACACCATGTTAATCAAATATGGAAAGTTTCCAAATGAATTTTGAATCAAATTCTAATATACCATGCACTGAGAGGTTTCAGTTGAAATCATACATTCACTGTGACTGGCTTAATTAGCACTAGTTTCTGAGGGACCAGTCACCGAAGATCTATCATTTTACAGGTGCCTCGGAAAGAGTGCATGTTATTTTTTCATATATATATCCTTCATCAAGAAATTAAAAAAATGTATAACCTCATCAATACAATATAATTATCAAAATACATGCTTATATATGATACATGTATACAATCACATCAGTAGGGCCTACTTGCACAATGATCTCTCATTACATTTCCTTTAGAATAGACAAAGCATACTTCTGCTATAGTTAGAAGAAAAACAATCTGACAGTTACGTAGTCTTTCAAAATAGAAAAGAACCTAAATCGTAAATGATTTTTGTTGTCTTTTAAAAGAAAAGAATAATACAATAGATGTATTGTTCCCCTCCACCTTTTAGTTTGTTTCACATACTCCCCTACTCCCTCCAAGCCAAAATAATCGAAATAAGAGAGAAAATATCTTACACAAATCCACACACATTTTAAACTGAATATAGTGTTCGACAACCCGCTAGTGCCGGGATAAAACTTTCTAAAATATGACCTAAAAAAACATGGTTTGAATATTTGTTATCCAAACTTTTAATCATCGTCAATGTTATCATTCTGGCATCTATTTTTTTTTTGGTACTGTCTTGTCTGTGTATTAACCACAGCTCTAGTCGTTCGTAATTGACAAGTCACTGCATACAAGTAAAATTGAATATAGTGTTTGACAACATGCTGGTGGATAAAACATTCCCAAAATCCGGCGAGAGATATGACCTCAGAACATAATGTTGGATTATTTTTTATCCAAACTTTTAATCATCGTCAATGTCATCATCCTGGAATCTGCTTTTTTTTGTTAACAGTCTTTTGTATTGTTTGATTGATTAAGTAGATATCGAAGCCTGTCATCCGTAACTGACAAGTCACCGCATTCATGTAAAATTGAACGAATCAATTAGCGTCACAGAATTGATTTATCATCGCCCTGTAAGTTATTATTTTACATGTTAGTATACCTGCATTCGTATCCAATACGAATGAATATTTCATAGCTAGCTAAAATGTTTTTTTTTTGATGAATTTCCTCACCATTTCTTTCACTCTGTTTAATACTGGTAAAATGTTGACTTTGTCTTAATCAAGGCAAAATATTATATTCATATTTTCTACATGTAAGGGAGAAAGGAAAGAAAGAGGGAGAGAGAGAGATAGAGAGATAGAGAGGAAGAATTCTTCTGTCTTGTCTGTGTATTAACAACAGCTCTAGTGGTTCGTTACTGACAAGTCACTGCATACAAGTAACATTGAATATTGTGTTCAACATTATGCTGGTGGATACAACTTTCCAAAAATCCGAGAAATATGACCTGAAAACAAATTGTTTGTTTATTTTGTTGTCAAACTTTTAATCATCGAAACCTGCCGTTCGTACCGACAAGTCACCACTCGCCTCATTCATGTAAGTTTGTACGAATCAATCGAGCGTCAAAGAATTGATTTATCATCGCTCTATAATTAATTATTTTATGTTTCATATACCTGCATTCGTATCGTTCACGAATGAACATTTACCAGATAACTAAAATGTTCGTTTTTGATTAATTTCCTCCTCATTAATTTTTCTTTGTTAAATACTGATAAAATGTTCAATTTGTCTTAATTAAGGCAAAATATTATATTCATATTTTCTTTACGCAGGAGAGAGAGAGGGAGAGAGAGAGAGAGAGAGAAAGAATACGTTAAGTGAGAATTATCGAGTAATATGAAAAGCATTCTTTTCAATATGATTTAAATCGTTGTCAATATTCAGAATATAAATAGGATAAATCCACATTACACAGCAACGCTGTCACCGCCTCCATCGCTCCAACCATAGCCCATATGCCAATACACCATGTTGGTCTTATATGGAAATTTTCCAGATGAAACTTGAATAAAATTGTAATATACCATGCACTGAGAGGTTTCAGTTGAAATCATACATTCTCTGTGACTGGCTTTGCACTAGTTTCTGAGGGACCAGTCACCGAAGATCTATAATTTTACATGTGCCTCGATAAAAGCGCATGGCATTTTCATATATATATATATATTCATCATCAGGAAATTAAAAAAAATGAAATGTAAGCTATAAAGAAAAACATAGGAATTATACACACTGACTCACACACGCGTTGATTACGAAGAGAGCTGCCCATTCCACAGTGACAGGTATATTTATATATATATATATATATATTTTTTTTTTTTGGGGGGGGTGGATTTTGTTATTGTGTTGATTTGGAATGTAGTTTTATTCTTTTTCTCTCAACGAACACAATCAATTTTACAATAAAGGTACACAATAGTGCAAAATTAAATTACGAAAGACCTAATACAATCTTACTTATAACCTCATCAATACAATATAATTATGAAAGCATAAGCTTA